GGATTGTTCTATAAACTAACAATACTGTCATATAGTATGCAACTTTTGATATTTATAGCAGATTTATTACTCATTTAGTTTTGAGTTAAGCAGCAAAAATATATAATACAAATATTTATAAATAATACAAAGCAGCTATTTCTTATTTCAAGTAATTATTATACTTAATGCTAGGGTGTTTTTCCTTGCCACTCTTGCCTTTGGCTTGCTCACTGGGGGGGTTGTCTAGCACTGTTTTTCTTTTCCTTTTATCTTATTTATTTTTCTATTTTCTGTAAAGCTGCTTTGGAACCATATGTATTGTACAAAACGCTATGCGAATAAACTGAATTAATTATTTAAAAATAAAGAGTAAGCAGAATCCATTCTTCAGCATTTAGTGTTTTTTCCCCATCACATTGAAAAAGGTCATTTACCTTTAAATTAACATTTTTTTACTTTATAACTTTATAATTATTGTCTTTCCATGTTACATTATTTAATGTTCATGTAAAAGTTTTTTTTTTTTAAATGGCAATGCAATGTAATCAATATCTGATCAATGTTGTGTTTTGAGACATTAAATGTGCCGATATACAGCTATACGATATATCACAATAATAAACATGCATGATATTGTTATCATGGGCACTTCAAAATACCATGAATAATTATTTATTATTCAGATTTTTAGAATGCATTTTAAGAATACTTTTCCCATCATCCAGTTAAAACGCACAACACGCAAGCGCACACTCTGATGTAAACAAGCACATTCACACTCTGACAGCAGATGGCGCTGAAGAGACAGCAGACATGCAGCCATTACCCAGGTAACCCTTAAATGCACTTTTAAAAGCTGTTTGAACTGAAATGTGTGTTGGCAGTGTGTGTACACAACCACCCTATAATGATAAAGATCCACCCAGTGCTTTGTTTTTTAACCCGTTAAATCATTTCCCCTTTCTCAAATCGAGCCGATCTCAGATGCCTGTCTGTGTGACGGCACACAGACTGGCCCCTCCCACGATTGTTTGTTTGATGTAGCGTTTCAGCACAGACTGGACTGGCGTCTTACCTTAGACCCACCCTGAGTGAGCTGTCATCAGTCCACCACTGTTTTACCGCCGGAGCAGATGAAGACAAGAATGACTCCTAAGCGATCGAGGTATTCTGTTGTTGGATATAATAATGAACATAGCAGTCGTCATTTACTCCTGTCATCTGAGTCGTTGAAGACGCAGTGGATTACCTGTGTTTCTGAAGGGAATGCGCCCCCGATCTACCTAAATGAGTCTATGTTCGCATGAATCATTCGTGATCCAGCTTCACCTCCAGAAGAAGTGAGTGTGTTTTTTTAATGAATCTTTGCAAATCGCTTTTCCTAATAATGTGCTAATTAGCAAGTTTTACGATGAATGTGGCTAAAGTTTACCGCCTCTCAGAGAGTGGCTCGGAAGAGAGGGGCGGGGTGAGCAGAGCTCATTTGCATTTAAAGTGGAATGCAATAAAACAGCGTGCTGTAGACAGAGCTGTTTTTGACGGTAAAAACGGTGTTGTTTTACACTACCATTGAGAAAATTTAACCAAACTATGTTACAGACTTTTCATCACATGGAAGTCGTGGCCTAATGGTTAGAGTCGGAAATTGTAACCCAAAGGTTGTGGGTTCGAGTCTCGTACCGGCAGGGATTGTAGGTGGGGGGAGTGAATGTATAGCCCTCTCTCGCACCTTCAATATCACGACTGAGGTGCCCTTGAGCAAGGCACCGAAGCCGCAACTGCACACCCGCAGCATTGGCTGCCCACTGCGCCGGGTGTGTGTTCACGGTGTGTGTGTGTGTGTTCACTGCTGTGTGTGTGCACTTTGAATGGGATAAATGCAGAGCACTAATTCCGAGTATGGGTCACCATACTTGGCCACATGTCACGTCACTTTCACTTTCATTAAGACCCTAAAGAATCATATCAACTTGTGAAAAATGGGCATCCGATGACCCCTTTATTAGGCCTATTGTTTTCTACAGGCCTATTCTTCTGCACTTTAATCTGTATGGAAAAATAGTTTATTTTGAATATTTAAATACAATAAAGCAATACACAGAAATGTATAGAGTTCTTAAACAGAGTGCTTAAATACGTATTATAGCATAACAACACTTTTTAGCAACTTATTTCAATATCGTGATAATATACCATGATAAAAGCTTAAGCAATTGTCGCAACATGAATATTTGATCTCCTCATTGATGGATCTATTGAAACTTAATCATTCATGAAAATTTGTCACTGATTTACATCCTTAAATATCAAAAGTTAAGTATTTCTTTACGATTAATAATAATGTCAAGGTGTTAACAAATACCATCAGCTTGTTTTATGAGAGAAAAATTAACTGAATTCAAAAGGATCCATCTGTAGATTCCGTCTATGCTTATCAATGAGGCAACATCCTGATTTTGAATGAATGATTAAAAATGCAAACCTGCCTCGATAGTAGCAGGATAAGAATTACTACTATGCTGCAGCCTAAAAGGACTTACGGTAAATCAGATATGTTACCTAATCAAGGACACCTCCAAACGATATGCCTTGTTGATACAGTGTGTCCGGGCGAACTGCTGGCAGGACACATTTCTGATGAGGCACCTCAGAGAACGGCTAATAAATGTCGACTGGGGAGGACACCGGTAGAGGAGAGGCAGATGGTTTCAGCCCTACTGCAGAGTGATATGATTAACCAGCCCTTTGATCCCACACGCGAGCATACAGCAGCGATAGAGGGGAACAGAAGCTAATCGAGAGAGACAGACTGGCAGGGGGCAACACCCCCACCTCTCCTAAACAGAAACCCAAAACAGAATGATAAAATATGCTGAGGCACAGAGTAACTGGATGGTCGACTAATTAACACATTGTCTTCAAAATGGAGCCTGTCATTTTTTAATCCCAAGTGCGATGACAGAACTCAATCATAGTGTGAACAATGTCGACGCATGCAAATGTGAACCGTGTTTAAAACATGGAAAAATGTGATCAATCAACGGTTATACCAGGCTAATCTGTAGAGCTCTCATGTTAGAATATATTAGCATATACAGCTTCATAAACAATATACAAAAAACATTAGAAGTGCATTCAGCATGTTTTTGTTTATTTTTTCACTTATTCATCTCAGTGGTCTTGAACGTTATACTGGCACCTTCTGGTGTGGATGCATTACTTAGTTTATTAGCGTAGCTGTGTATGCTAATTTTAATCATAAAAGAGATGTTCATGTCTAACACTAAACACTGGTGATAAAACAAAATTTAAAGGGTTTTAAAATGCATAACTGAGAAAGGGGAAAGAGAGATGCTTTGCAAGAACATTAGGGGAATGGGGGCAAAGAGAGACAAAAGAAAGTTGGAGACAGAGAAATAGAAAGAAAGAGAGGCAGGGAGGAGAAACGGAAAGGGGTTCAAGAGGGAGCTCTTGTTCACAGAGGCAGAACACAGACAGAAGGGGAAAGATAACAGACTCTCAGCTACACTGAGAACAACACAGGTAAACATGTTCCATGCACAAAAATATTCCGCTTTTTAAGTTACAGTATATAACTGCCAATTTTTTTTTTTATATTTAAAAAAGGAAAAAAAAACTGTCATAGGTGCTTGTTTCTGTACAGCAGATAAAAGTTTTGGAAGGGAACCAAAAAATATATAAATATATCATAAATTTAAAAATAAAATACGGCTTTCATACGGCTAATGCTAGGGCTGCAATAACTGACAATAACTAAACAGCATTTATTTGAAATAGAAATCTTTTGCATCATTATAAACTTTACTGTCGCTTTTGATCAATTATGATCAAAGTTTTGAATGCTCTTGTACATTTTACTGATATACTGTTATAATGAGAGTAGTTCTATTATGCAAAACAGCAAGTCCTAACATTGAGCGTTCATATTAGTTCATATGTCACTAATACAGTTACATTTTCATGACAGACATCAAATTTCGGTTTAAAATTGGCTGTAATTGAAACCTGAAATGCTACAACAGTGAAAACTGGGGGGAAACAGGCTTTATGTACGAAAACAATATATATATATATATATATATATATATATATATATATATATTTAAAATAACTATATTATAAACCATTTTGACCATAGTGTACATAAATTATATAGACTTTCCTCCATATCATTTAATAGCGCATAACAGATATCAGATATAACAGATATCTATAATTAATTATAATTATTTGATAATCAAAATAGTTGTTAGTTGCAGCCCTAGCTTATACATTCCAACACTTCAGAAGTATAGGAAACAAATATTGTATTATACCCTCTTATATCCAAAATAAGCCAGCTGTACTCAAATCACTGTACCAAATAAAATCATGTAAAACAGCCCACCCAGTACAGCAACATTTTCTGAAGTCAAAGTGGAACAAGTGTGCCATACAAACATTTCACTCACGCAAGTCACAAATGAGTATCAACACGTCATGCAGCCTCTGAACAACAGCAACAGCAAGGTGTTGTGTTTAGCATGTCAGTAACTCTGAAAACAGTGTTATGGTGTAACATCACAAAACGAAGTGAAGCACTACGCCACAACACCAAACCGATGAGAAAACTCTGAAGCATACAGATCAATAAAAGCTAAGACATTAACAGTGATACTCTTCCCTTCGAACAGTCAGCCACAGTGCGTCACGCTGGGGGCAACATCGAGAGATCGGACCTGTAATACCACCAATTACAGTAATACCTTCTCTCCCTTTCTCTCTCTATCCATCCCCGGTGTGAGTTTGAGGCTGGGCTGGCTAGAGCTGGTGATGAGGTGTGGAAACCGGACATACACACTTCCACAGACAATTCTTGTGTGGTCAGATCAGATCTGATGAGGTGAGAACATGGGCGCTGATGGTGCCTTCCCTCCCAGTGTCCCTCTACCACCCTCATCCCAAAACCACCACCATCACCACGGTGAACACATAGACATGCCATAAGCAATCTGTACCTTGTGTGTGATCGGGACTGGACCAACTGACACCGGTCAGCATTACATCTAGAAGAACGAAACCATGTTAATCAGGTAGGGCAAGCAAAGAAACCGTCAAAGGAGCTTTTCTGAGAGAATATGCCGGTGGGCGTTCCAATTATTCTGAGTCCAAAATAACTCTATTGTTATGTGTAAAACACTAATACTAAATCTATTTATCCCAGATGTTCGAGCCCTAGATTACTGTTCTTGAAATACTTTGTGGATGGAAATGTCTGGCAAACAAACAAATAAAGCTTTTTTCAGTTAATGATACCAACAAGTTCGCCTGAAAGGAACCCCAACTTTTCTGCTCAACTTTTTATAGCAAAAGTGCACAAAAAGTTACCTCAGGATATTTAGATATTATGTTCAAAAAGAAGTTTCAAAATATTAATCAGGCCAGGCAAAGCTGACACACGGTTTAATCCCATTTCCACCCCAGAAACCTGACACATCCCGTCAGACATTCACACCTACTGAAAATTAGATTTGTAGCAAAAAGAAAAGATGAAGCAAGGTAAAATAAAGCACCTTTCCCTCTCCAGCTAGATCTGATGGCATGATAGCACTATAAAACAAAAGGACACACTAATCAGCTAATGTGCAAATCAAATATAGATATTGAGAATGTATGGTGTGACAGTACATTTAGAGAGGGCTAGATTTGACCTTTGAACTGAGATTAGATGATAAAAGTACCAATGAGACTAGCTTTGTTTGCCTTGCATGAGTTTTAGTCTCTGATCTTGTGGTCTGACACAAGATGTTATAGTATATAGATCACCCATTTACATCTGTATTTCTCAAGGCTTAAAAAAAAGAAAAGAAAATTCCCATTTTTAACTGTAAAGATCAAACATGCTGGACCAATGTCCAAACCAATGTCCCTAGCATCCACACGGAGATTCTCGGTGATGTTGTTTAAATGCTAACGCCTTGTACTGAAAATAGCAGGCAGTGGAACCAAAAGAGAAGGTCATCAATATCACGCCGTGCATCCTGAGTAGCATTGGAGCAGGCAGCTGATGGATGTAACCAATTTGAGAGTGACAACAACGGGATTTTTATTTACTTCTCAGACTGCACTGTCCTACATGCATGAGAGGAGCAGGGTGGGCAGAGCCCTGGGGCAGGGGTCCACCGCACACCCTGCTCTCTCAGTAAGCAGATCACCATGCAAGCCATGGGACATGCTCTAGAGACGTTCCCAGGCAAAAGGGGGGCAAGCCGGGGAGGGGCGGATTCCTAGCTAATTACGGGCCCGAGCATCTCATTCCTCATACGCTGATCACTAATTAGCATTAGCAACTAATTTAGCACATGGTCAAATCAAAATGATCAAGCAGGACTCAGAAAGGTGTGGAAAGGCTACCGACCAGCTAGCTCCTTCTCCTTACTCCTTCTTTTTTTCTCCATGCGTTTAAGGCGCTTCTCCTCGCGCAGTTTGGCTTCTTCGGCCTCCTGGTGCCGCCGGCACTTGTGAAAGTTCTCGACCACCACGCCGACGAACATGTTGAGCACAAAGAAAGCCACGATCAGCAAGAAGGAGATGAAATAGAGCAGCATCCATGGGTTGTAATTCATGACGGGCTACAAAACAGAAAAACACAACATGGATTAATGTACAGAATGCACACTAATGTGCACACACATTGGTGGTTAAGCTAGTTAGGAAGTTTATTCAAGGCTCAACAGTAAGTTGGGCCAGCAATTCAGCGATGTTGACTTGCATTACCTACCTACTTACTTATGTTAATACATTTTTATACATATCTTTTGCATTTGATTTATTTAATTATATATATATATATATATATATATATATAGAAAGGGAAAAAAGGCCATATATATATATTTATCTAATAAATTAATAATATAATATAATATAATATAATATAATAATTTCAAATTCCAAAAAATTTTATAAAAATACATCAGTTGCTGAGTCAGGTCCCAAGGAGTAGCTTACAGCCATGTTCAAGATGGTGATGATGGAGAATTGTGATATCAATAAAATTTCAGTTCAAAGGTCTGTCCTGCTGGGGACCCGAAAGATGCCTGCCTCTAGGCTAGATTAAGTGTTCTGTGTGCAATGGTGAGGCACAGGTCACACAGCATGAATTTGAAGAAGAGATATCTGTGCCAATTCAAACGCATGAATGCCTTGGCTAGGACAAGGGCTGGGCTCTTTTCAAATAGAGCAGAACAATTTCAGGAGCCTACAGCCAGGCATGAGGCATGGAGACTTCCTTTTCAGGCACAAAAATCATCCTATATATTATTACTCAAAAATTAATTCAAAATTATTCAAAAATTCAAACTGTATTAAAAAAAATAGACATTTTGGGGGAAGAGTGTAAAATAAGCCACTTCAAAGAGGTCTGTTGAATGGACAGTAAGGAGCTTTACAGAAAAACTGATGAATGGAAAAGCAGTTCTTTGAAGCCAGGACAGGATTGCTGACCAATGATTTTTCAGCTCTGATTCAGTTCATGGAGTTTGTCCAATCAGAGTTTGCAGTTATCAGAGAACGCGAATGACTGGGATGTATTCTGGCCCAAAGTTTGTTTGCATTCTATAAACAGTGACCCAATTAAATAAGGTTGCCACATTGTCCACAGTTTTAGATCAAAAATATCAAAAGGGGAACCCATAGGCATATAAATATTATTACAATTAAATGTTATGCAGGTAACAGGAGCTTCTGATATAGTCAATACCTGCTGATCGACACCGACAGAATCCAGGCCGTCGTACATTATGTCCACCCAACCGTCTTTGGAAGCCAGAACAAAAAGGGACATGAGGGCCTGAGGGAAGTGAGAGATAATAAAAGAGGTTAAAAGAAATCTTTGACTTCAGTGGCTCCATTTGACTTTGTTGAAAATGGGATGAGACCATAACAGATTCTTTTCAAATTGGAAGTGGCATTACCACTCGCTTGTAGATACATCTAAAAGAGCATCTTGAGAAAGAGCGAAAGTTTGTGTAACCATTGCCAGGTTAAACGCTTACCTGCCCCAGGTTATCAAAGTTGTACTTGTGCCTGACCCATTTGTTGCTAGCCTGGAGGCAATCAGACTTGTTGGTGATGTTCCTCGTATCCTCCCCCTGACACACAAAGAACTTTCCTTTGAAGAGCTGTGAGGAAAAAAACAATTTTATCAGCTCACAACCAACCTTCCTTTTCTCTGTGAGTGATTTTTTGGAATAACGCGCATAAAAATGTCTCAACTAGAACGACAGATATCAAGTGTCTTGAGATAATAAATATAAATATATTCTATATATATTGGAAGAAAAAGAGGGTATGGAATTTAATGACAATAGCTGACAATTATTGGTCAATTTTTATAAAGAGTTCAGATTTCAATTACATATATTATGTACATATAAGCGCATTACATTACTATATATGAATTATATGTTACAACTTCATACAAGATGGTTATGTCCCCATTATTGAAAGTCCAGTATGACTGTTTAGTGAAAACCATACAAGGACAAAGCCAATGTTACACATGCCACATCATACAGGCTCAAAGAGCACTGGCATCTTTTCCTGGAAGAATGGAAGATAAATTACATCGACGTTCCCTAAGGACTTACGTAAATTGTGGAAGTATGAAAAACAGAACATTTTAATCATAGTCAAATTATTCAGCTGTGGGCAAGAAGAGTATGTTTCAAATTTACAGAAATGACAGAAAATCATGTATTTGTTCTATGCACCACCTCTTTCACTCTCACAAAAAGTCTTAAAGGCAATCTTGTGGATTAAATACACAGAGCTGTCAAATGTTGTGTTACTTTATATATGACGGTTTCTTAGAAGGAATTACTACAATTAATCCCTTAAATTAAGACTGGCTTTTACTTTAATAGTCTGATCCAAGCAAGAAATATTATATCTGCTATATAACTGTTAGGTAGCATTTCTAACTTCCCTACTGAAAAACATAGCTAAAACTGGCCTAAGCTTGTTTAAGATGGCCTGCCATGCTGACAAAGCTGAAAAGTGCTCAAAGTCTTATTAAAACTACAAAAAAAAAAAAAAAAAAAAAAAAACTCTTTAAACTGGTTTACGCTTGTGATTTCTGCAAGGTTATGCTGTTTTGTACTTACTTGAACTCCCAAGATGCCAAAAATAATGAAGAAGGCACAACAGATAACTACAATGTTCCCGATAGGCTTGAGTGATGACATCAGTGTCTCAACAACCAGCTTCAGTCCTGGAGCTCTGCTGATCACTCTGAAAATCAAACAAGAGAACAGATTTTTAAGCAACAGATCTTAGCCTGGAGGTTCACAACTGTTTTTTTTTTTGCTTCAGGACCTCGATGCTCCATTTGGAAATCAAGAAGCAACTCAACACACAAACTATTTTCTCAGGAAAACAAACAAACAAGCAAACATTTTACAAAATTACATCATTTGTATAGTATTATCATGCTATATAACTAACTACATAATTTACATTTATATTAATAATAAATAATTTGATTTATTAGTATATTTAGGGCTGTCAAAAAACATTAACACACTAACATTGATTGACAGTGCTAATATTTATCAAGGCATAGAGTTAAATGTCTTTTAAATTTCAAAAGGCTTTATCGTGCAGCCCATAATTCACCTCACAAAATACATAGTGATCACCACAAACCATGTTCATTCTCATTCAACCCCTATTTAATGTAGTCTGGGTCATTTATTTTTAACCTTAAACAGCTTTGTGACAGATGAATTTGGGCAAAAATTTGAATTAGACACACTATCTTTGACTAATAACAAAAGACACGGGAAGCGCTTTCTCCTTTCTTTTAAAACCTGATAAGCCCATTTATTTTGCTATCCTAACTATGCACAATTATATGGTGAGCTGCATAGTTGTAAACTTAGAAAGGGTCCATAAACTGCTCAGTCCTTGCCTGGCCAGTGCCTGCGAGTGGAAAAATGTTTCTCATGCTTTCACCAACCTGACATTAGTCAGCTTTCTCTACTTTTGTCATTCCATCATTGCTGCAATCACAAACTCCTCTACGAGTGAGCATGGCAATTACCAGCAAACATTTTCATGCACTAGCCATTATGCTAAGCAACCGCAATGCAATGCTGTGGGGAAACTTTCTGTGCTGCATAGAAAGGTGACAGTTTTAATTAAACTGCCAGAATAAAGAGGAAGCCTAATTATTAATGGCACAACATCCGGAACTAAACCGCACATGTCAACCTCTGCGGAGGCTGGCACCAACAGTGACACAAAGACACCTGCTCACAAAGGCACAGACAATAACATATGTAATACAAATACACAGCTGTAACAGGAATTCAGCTGCTTTAGAGGCCAGGGTGTTCTTTTGTTAAAAAACAACTAAAAGGGGAAAGAAAGCATGCGTTAAAAAGCAAGTGTTTAAAAGTTTGGCCTCTTTAAAGTTAACATGCGGTCTTAAAAATGTTGCACTCATGACACGAGACCAATGAAATGTGCTTAAATGGTCAAAGATGTCCATCTAATGCATGTTTACAAAGACCAACAATGAAAAAGTAGTGCAGACAGATTCAAGATCAACTGTTTGTCTGTAAGAACAGCGATTCACATGTAAAATTATACTCTAAGGGAGCTGTAAAAGGCAACTGACTTTAATCTACGGCATTGTCTGTGTTGAACTGATGTTAATGGGACACAATGAGGACCTAAAGCAGTAGCAGGGGATCCAGATGCATTGCAGAAACATTGTATATTGCAAGATGTTTATGATATTACACACACACACACACACACACACACACACACACACACACACACAAAGACTTCAAAAATGTTTCTTCCTTCAAAATAAAGAATAAAAGGCACATTAGTCCTCATTTGGTGACAGTGATTTCTGGCTCCTCACCACAGAACTGAGCTAAAGCAGCAAAAACCTGATTTGATCCTCAGCTTTGATCTTCTTAAGAAGTGTTCTGTGATTGTATCAGTGTCTGAGGATGAAGAAAGGGCCATGTTTAAAGAGACCAATCAGGTTTAGTCAAAGTGACTGGTTGAGAAAGGAGTCTGCCAAAAGGGAGTGCAGATAACAGGCTGCTCTGTCTTTTGTTTGTCTGAATATCTGCGTGCACTTTCACAAGCTCAAGCGGATTTATCAAAGCTCACTTCGGGGATTTCAGGTAATACCATAAAATCAATTATGGAAATGTAAAACGATGAGAAGGATCAATATGTCTAGACTAGGGATGCACCGATACTGAGCTCCTGTACTCATACTCGTACTCATTAAAATGCCCCCATACCAAACGCCAAGTCTGGGAAAAAAACATTGAAGTTGAGGTTTGCATGAAGCTGGGTGACAGCATGCCCAGGAGACTACAGGCTGTCATTAAGGCTAAGGGTTGCCCAACTAAGTATTGATAGTTGTGTAAATACTGTCATACTAACAGATGTCTAATTTTTGGTTGATTGTAATCCATTACATACCTTTCTATCAACGTTATCTAACATTATCAAGCTGAATTTGTTCTGACTCCGTTTAACTCTGAGTTCTTGTTATATTTTATTACCATTTTCTAAACTATAGCGAATAAACTGTGATAATGGGAGAAATGTTGAAGGTGTCTGAATAAATTTTGGTTTGACTGTATCTATTTGATAAATAAAGTTAACCAACTAACATTATACATACTCTTTTGGTTTCTGTACCCAGTATTTTAAAAATTTACAAATGCAATAAAAATATTGGTATCGGTACTCGGTATCGGCAAATACCAAAAATAAAAGTATCGGTATCGGGCAAGTACTGGAAAAAGTGGTATCGGTGCATCCCTAGTCTAGACCCACGCTCATCTCTGAGTGAATTTGAGAGGGACAGTCTAGTGAAATGATATGATGACTTATTCACTAAAACTAAAAGAATTAAAAAAATAAATTCTGAATTGAAATAAAAGCTTGAACTGAAACATAAAATCACATAAAATATGAATATTAGATGAAAAACTTGGCAACTAAAAATAAGCTGAAGTTTTAGTAATAAAATTACCAAAACTAAACTGGGGGTAAAAATAGAAATATTAAAAAGACAAAATCACATAACAAAACAAATCAAAAGTAAAACCAAGTGAAATCTAAATATTAATAGATATAATAGTATAGCATGCTCACACCTTGAGATTTCAATCCCTGACCAATAGAGGGCGCTAGTGCCTGAGGTGTTTTTCAATACAGTAGACATTCCAGATCACAGTGAAGTTATGCGTTTATATAATTTCTCATGAAAAAAGAGTAAATATGGGATTTTGTGCAATTTAATATGTATTTATATACAGTAATAAAAGAGCAGTGAGAGCAAAAGAAATGCATGTTTGTAAAGAGTACATTTTGAAAATATCAGATGGTTACACCTTGGTTCTGTCATATATATGCCATGGTACTGAATAATTACCATAGCATAATAAAATACAATGGTACTATTTTAAATACCATGATATTTTTTTGTTGGTGAGAAACCAGGGTGGTGGTCCTAGTTGCATAATATGATGCCGATGCGACTCTTCTGGTTTCTGAGTACGTGTTATGGTTACTGTGTTCTGCAAGCCTTCAAAAAATCTGAATTTCCCATATATAATCGCTCCAATCCGGTCTTTGTGTTCTGAAAGGTTTTAATAAATAAATACATTAAGAAGGAAACAATAAGTAGAGCACTAAAGGAGCCTCTTATTCCCAGAACACAGAGACACATTTTCATCCTGGCTGTAATTAAAGAATGCTGTAGTTGGGCTGGGAACCTTCAGTTTGGGGGATTCAAGCTGTGTGTCCCTGACAGCAAGCACACAATCTGAGGACATCCGTCAAATTACAAAAAAATAAATACGAATCTCAACTACAAACTAAAAACAGCAGCATTAAAGGGGTCATATGATGCGATTTATTATATGACCCCTTTAAACTTTTGCAAGGTAGCGTAAATGGAAAAAGCATGATTTGACGACAGAATTAATTTTTATCAAACCGAAGTCCTGCGTCAATTAAAACGCCAAAGTTTTTCGCACACGGAGTAACATGAGATCTTAAAAAGCCTAGATCCAGATCACCACCATCATAAAAGTCACTTGGTCCAAACAATACAACTTCAGTTTTTTTCTCATTTAAGGCCAAACAATTTTGCGAAAGCCATGATTTCAGATCCCGTAGGCATGCTAGCAAAACCTCAATAGAACATGAATCGTTACGTTTAAGTGGAAGATACAACTGGGTGTCATCAGCATATAAATGAAACGATACTCCATGTTTAGAAAAATAAGTCATTATAATCCGTAATTATGTCCCCACTGGATGCAACACAGAGTACCAAAACAAACTTGTAGCCAATCAGCAGAAGGGGCGTGTCTACTGTTACGTTATGATGTTTTTTGTGTTTCCATAATATTTGTGTTCTGTTGGATGTTTTCTGTTTGAGTTTCAGATCGCTGCTGATTTACTAGGGGTGCTGCCATCTATCAGCGATAATTGGTGTGATCAGCTGGCAGTCCTTTTAAAACGCCACTTCCGCTCTTCAGAAGGCGGCGGAGCGACTTTGGGCCAGTCGCACTGGTCCAGACTCCCTGTTAGCCGCCAGACCAAGATGTGTTGTTAGTGTTTCTTTTGATTGTTTGGTTCTTTTGAAATGTGATAGTAATGTAGGAGAGACCTGCCCTTTTGTTTAAATATAATTTCTACTATGTTTTTTGGTTAAGAGTAGATAGGTTAGGTTTATTGTATTTCTTTTTCTTTTTCTTTGTGACAGGTTATTTATATTGTTTTATTTTATTAGATTGGTTTTGTTTGTTATTTTGGGCCTTGGGTCTCTCTGATGAAAAATACCACTTTATTATTCATATTTATTTATTTTTAATAATTCGTCACTTAGACTAATTATTTTGCTTTTGTTATTTCTTCACACATTTCATTACACCAAATACACAAAATAATGTTCTTTTTAGCAACATCATATGACCCCTTTAAAGCAGATGTAATGCAAATTTTCCTCATTGTTTACTCACTCTCATGTCGTTCCAAACCTGCATGACTTTCTTTCTTCTGCAGTCCAAAAAAATTTGATATTAAAGGGATTGTTCACCCAAAAATTCAGTCATTACTTATTCACCCTGGTGTTGTTTTAATGCACCAGTGAGAAAATAATGACTGAATTTTTAGCTCTCTCTCCATCTCCATCCTAGCACCCTCACATAATCCAGTAAAATTATGACTTCACAATTACA